AAAGAGATTTTACTCGCCGTCTCCTAATAGTATCTTCCGAATCTTGCTTTGTCTACATTCGCTGGCGAACAAATTTCGAGCAAATTTCAACAAAGATTGAAATTTCATTTCGATACTCCTAAAAATTCTTTGATAGAAACTCGGTTTCATAATATCATTTCATTTGGCAAGTATTTGTATTAGGTTTTAGAAAAGATTTTGATTTGTCGTAATTTTATACAATGTCAATGTATTGTACTAGTTAGTAAATAATACCAAGATCCAACTTGGGAACAATAGTGCAATTTGCACCAGCTTCAGCCCCAGATTCATCATTTTTTGAATGTATATAACAACTGCACAATAGGATAGCATGATGCTGAATATCATGATGTATATTTTGCCGAACGCAGAGCTACATTCATTCAAAGGATAGAACCCCCTCACTCATGTCACAATATGTTATTAGACAACCATTATAAGGCACTTTAGTGTCCATCATAAAATTCAGTTACTTATCAGATTGTGTTACTGTTTGCGTTTTTACTTGTATTGCTTTATAAGCTATATAAGCTATATACTTTAGAGAAAGTAAAGGTAACGTTCAGTCACAGAATAGGAAGTTTTACCAGAAGCGTAACTCTAGTCGTTTCCCTTATTGTTTGACGTCCACGAAAATTTTAGCAAAACACTCCACAAAAACGATTTAGAAGTAAACGTATAATTTAATATCATGACAATATGAGGCCGATTCGCACGGCGTAAACAAACAATTAGTCTTGTTATGGCCAGGGTTATGGCAATATGAACATAGTCATTAGTGGCAACTTAATGAAATCTTCAGGTTTTCGGTAACTCTCTTCAAGTTCCAACAAATCTTGCTCTTTCTCCTCAATTGTTACTCGCAGCTTTTGCTCGTCCGTTTCAACTTTATCAAAATATTTCCGTGTCGGTGATATGTATTGTTCTATATTGGGGTATTCAAACCCAACGGGTTCGTCTTCGACAACACTGGTTTGGCTATCATCGCACAAATTGATTAAAGCAGTTCTATATTTGTCCTCATGATTGTCATTTAAATTACGTTTACGTCTAAATCGTTTTTGTGAAGTGTTTTGCTTACTATTAGGAGACGGCGAGTAAAATCTCTTTGACTTTGAGCTGATTTCACTGCTCTGAGATGAAGTA